GCCTCCGAATTGCCTTCGAATCGTGTCGTATTGGCTTCGAATTGCCTTCGAATTGTGTCATATTGCCATCGATTTGCCTTCGAATCGTGTCACGTGGCCTCCGAATTGCCTTCGAATCGTGTCATATTGTCTTCGAATTGCCTTCGAATTGCCTTCGAATTGCCTTCGAATCGTGTCATGTGGGCTCCGAATTGCCTTCGAATCGTGGCAAGAAAATAGAAATAAAAAAATCAGGCATACTGTCCGCTGCCTTTTTTGCCGACCGCCCGGAAGAATCGCGGCCCAGTATTCTCGGATCTGCCGGTTTCGATTTCGATCTCCGAGCATTTCTGGGAGAAATTGCCGTATTCTTTCGAGATTCTCCGGTTTTGTTTACGAGCCGATGGACAACGCTCGAGGGATCAAACTCCAACTGATCGACTTCCGGTAGTTACGAAGCGAAATTTCGAGCACCCTTCGATTTCCCTCGGTTCAGCGGTTAAAAAAATATCGTGTTTGCGTTCCCGGCGTTCACGCTTTGATCCATTTTCCCCGCTAATGATACGGTAGCGTAGCACCGAGGTCTATAGAATAGCAGCATAAATCGGCCGGTATCCAAAGAAGTTTTCCACGTCGCGAACCGGTTTCATTTGTAATCATTTTTAAGCCCCGTCCGGGAGAAGTTTGTTTTGCATTCGTTCGACGGGATACGCGTTCTTATAGCCGGGATAATTACAGGCGTCGCGAAGCGCGAGCAACGCGAGCGCCGTACGAAGGATGATCGATACCATGGTATACACAGCTCCGGGCTGATCGAGAGTCTCGCCGCAACGTCGACGGAACACGCTCGGGCATCGTCTTTCGAACATTCATTGTTTACGCGTCCGTAGTTTTGATAACTGGACTGGACGTTCCTTCTAGACGGGCTTCCAAATAGACGGACGCGACCGATCGGGCGAGACCGGTTCGGAACGGGACGCGAACACCTTGGGGAAGATACGCGAGGCGGTTTAACTAGCTTGTATTACTCCGCAATTAGCGATCCGAGGATCGTGCGCGAGATTGGCTCGAACGCGATCGTCCCCTAGCCCTTCTGTTCTATTTCTTCATTCTAATTGGAACCTACTTTATACGCTGCCCCCGATCCGGGTCTCTCCGGGTATTTTTTTTCGTCCCGAACCGAATCACTATAATAATGTCTCCCTAACTGACGCTCGGATTGCGCAGAAAAATGGACAATTTGGAAAGACGAGATACGATTATCCGAGTTTTCTTGCGACTCGTTTTTAGAGTTGTTGACAATCGGTAGCTATAAAAAAAGGATCGAATAATCGTATCTCCTCTTCCTAAATTGTGGACAAGCTGAGCGTCAATTGGAGCGACATTACTGTACAGTAATGTCAGAGAGACAGTAATGTCTCAAAAATGGACAATTTGGGAAGTGGAGATACGATTATTCGAGCCTTGAAGCTCGTTTTTATAGTTGTTGACAATTCGCGACTATAAAAATAAACCGAGACATTACTGTATTTGCGACCGTGATGCCGCTGTAATTTGCGTTTTTATTCGAACGAAGGATTAGGAGACGCGGTGTATCAGTTGGAAACATCGCCGTAAAAATGGCGCCGGTGCTTTAGTTAGAAAATTGCTTTGTCAAAATTAACGCTGCGACTACCTATTTCGGTCTAGCCAAAATAAGACAAAATGACCGGTTTCCGATCTTCTCTCTTACAATTATCGATGCTATAAAAAACATTTCATTCGAGGCATGTAATAAAAAGCGTAGGAAGTTCAAGTAAATCCAATCTCGTCGTAGTTACAATGCGTATAATTAGTCGCGTTTAGGGCACGGTAGTTCTAGCATTAACACAGTAAGACGTAAGAATTCAAAAAGTGATATCCACAATTTTTAATCGTTATCTATTCCTACGATACGTTTGTTCCTTCGATGCTAAACGTTCGCACCAAAGACACCGCAACAATTTCTATTTCTAGAAATGAATCAGCGGATTTACTCGTCGACTAATCGGAATCGACGAGGCGAAGGGATAACAGTTTCAAGAGTGCGAAGCGCGTCATTTCGCCGCGGCTCTGGTCAGAAGCAATTAGCAGCCTCACGGGTCATTATCAGAGGCCGACGTCACGCTGTTATCGGTCGACCTCGGCTCGCAGGACATCGATATCGATTCGATTGTGTTCCGCGGGGCTGCCGGACACCGGCGCGGATAACGAGGAAAATTTACACCGTAGTTTTCTAGAAAGTCGGGCTTTCTATCGATCACACCCGGTGTCGAATGTCCTCCTACGAGAAAATTCGATCCACTCGCGCGCGGCCACGGTGTATCATCGCGAGGGTGTCGCGATCGCGTCACAGCTTTCGCACGGACGTCGCGATCGCGTTCGCGATTACGATTATCAAGCTGCACCGGCTGCGATAAAAGGCGCGTTTTTAATCTCGGAACTTCTCTCGAGCTCGAAGGATGATTCAGATCGCCGCGATATAAGTGCAATCTTGAAAACCGTCGGAGTCAAATATCCGTTCGATCTTCTCCGATTGTTCATTCTCGTTGGCCAAATTTTTCGATCCGAGAATCGCGGGACGAATAAATCGAACGACCGGAATAATATTTTCCGAAACGATGTTTCCGGAGTTCGATAATCGCGAGTGCAAAATTCCTGCGCAACCTGTACACAACGTGACAAAAGTTTATGCTTCCCGTGGAAAATAAACGGAAATCACGGAACGATATTTTTTGGCACGTTTTTCAGTTCTCGCAATATCTCCTAATCCCTGCGCTCCATCGAAAAAAAAAAATGTTTTTCACGAGTCCCGATGGAGCCCGATGCTCGCCCCCGGTGACCATTATAATCGGTCGCCGCTGAATATTGAAAGTATCAAGCGTGGTCTGACGCGCGATTCACGCGACCGTAATTTCAGTGGCTCGCGAACAAAGAGACCACGAGTCGATGCTATTAAACCAACAAAAAGGAGAAAGGCGGAGGGAGAAGAGAGAGAGAGAGAGAGAGAGCGGAATAGGAAGAGAAAGAGGCAGAACAAATCGTGGGGAGAGAGACAGAGAGGCGCGAGGGTACTAATCTACGGGAACAGGTTGAACGCTTCGCGGCAGCATGTTATCGTAACATCTTTACAGCTTTTCTCGGAAAAGCAGTAATTTACAGTGCGTCGTCCATCAGGACATTACGGTACAACGACTGGGTTCGTCGCGTTACTCGCGTCGGATCGGGTCGGGGCCAGAAAAAGAACATTATTTTACGTAATTGCAGAAGCGCGAAATTCCAGGAAAGGTCCGCGGTCTGCGCCGTCCACCCATTGTTTTCGCGGACGTCTCTCCTCTCTCTCTCTCTCTCTCTCTCTCACTTTTTCTCCGTTTTTCAAGCGAACTCGGCCGCAGCGGCAGGTTCTCTCGTTGCGAACGCACGCGTCGAGCGTACGAGCGTTCGCCTCCGAGACGGTGCGCCGCTGCTCTTCCTCTTGCAAAACTGCCTGTTCACCCACTAATCACCTCGATTTACCAACCGGCAGAGAACCGGCATTACGCGGCTGCTTTAATCTCTGTTATTCCTCGCCGATCGATCGTTTCGATGCGCTTCTGCGATGCATCGCCGGTAAAGGGACCGCGATCGACGGCCGTTTTCTTCCTCGATTCTCTCCTCGTTCCCATCAATTCCAGAGGCTCGATCGTCTCGACGATTTCTGCGACGAACTTGCACCGAATTCGTTCGAGAAACGGTGCTTTCTACGGGGTGTCGACGAACGGACGAAGTCCGGTTCCGCTCGTCACCTCGGCCGTTTCACGTCGGTTGATCTCGTTGGTCGCTGCTTTTTTCGTTGATGTAATAAATTCACCTCGATTTTCCTTCAGTTTGTGAACAAAAATGGGGAATTTGGGAAGAGGAGATACGATTATTCGAGCCTCGCGGTTCGTTTTTATAATTACCGATTGTCAACGACTGTAAAAACGAGCTGCAAGGTTCGAATAATCGTATCTCATCTTCCCATACTGTTCATTTTTGTGCACAATCTGGGCGTCGATTAGAGAGATGATTATTGCACAGTAAATTCTCCCTAATCGATGCTCGGATCGTGCAGAAAAATGGAGAATTTGGGAAGAGAAGATACGATTGTTCGAGCCCTGCGGCTCATTTTTGTAGTCGCCGACCGTCAACAATTATAAAAGCGAGCCGCAAGGCTGCGGTATGGAATAATCGTATCTCCTCTTCCCAAATCTGAGCGTCGATTAGGGAGACATTATTGTACAGTAAATTCTCCCTAATCGACGCTCGGATCGTGCAGAAAAGTGGAGAATTTGGGAAGAGGAGATACGATTGTTCGAGCCGACAATTATAAAAACGAAGTGCGAGACTCGAACGATCGTATCTCCTCTTCCCAAATTCTCCATTTTTGTGCACAAACCGAGAACAAAGAGAATTTAGTGTAACTCGAAAACAAAGGCGCGGATCGCAATCGCGCCAAGGAAAACGTCACTTCGAACGACTTCGGGAACCCCTGGTTTCCCGATTTCGGGCAACTTTTGGGACACTCTGTAGATCAGTCTAGGAATTACTCTATTTTAGCGATCCGCGAACGATCGATGCCTTCCGAAACGATTACCACCGTAGTACCAGATTTCTCAGGCCATCGGTACCGAAGATCCCAAGGGTTTCCTGAAACGATCGAATAAATCATGGTGCTTGAGATGCGGGCCGCAGGGGTTGGCGGGAAACGCGCGCGCGTATGGAAGACGGACAGAAGATTACAGGGGACGGGGTTTCGGATTGCGGAGGGTTGTGACGGTTTATCCGTTAATATTCTTTTAACGACTGAAATAACAGAAGCTATTTTCCGGGGGACCGTCGGGGTTCCGTCGCGCGGCTATTGTTATTCCTCGGTCACAGTCGGGGCAGCACGGGGCGGTTCTCTCTCGCGGGTCCCGGGGAGGTTTAGGGGGTCTAAATGGTATCCGTGAGCGACGCTAAGCGGCGTGCTGCAATGGTTTCAGATCGAGGAAACGGCGACCCAGCTCGAGCAACGACTCGGAGCGATTATACAGCGGCTGGAACGAGCGAATAACCCACGGATGCGGCCGCGAGGGTTGCCGCACCAACGAGCGCGGCGACTGCATGGACGAGTGCACCGCCGCGCTGGTCCTCATGTCGCTGTCATGCTCGCCACACAGTCCTCACAATCCCCTGCCACTTCACTGCCAGCACAATTACGGTCAGTATCATGCCGTAAATGGCTTACTAATACCAAGAAACACCCGCGGCCAATTGATCCTAATTTTATTCCTGCCGCGCCACGCCGCGCCGCGCCGCGTCGCGCGCGACCGTGTTCTTTTGTAAGACTTCCAACTGCGCACATTTGTGCCTGCATGCGTGCGTGCGTGCGTGCGTGCGTGCGTGCGGAGCGAACGAGTAGCTGCACGTTGCGTCACTCACACCGGGGTTATTGCCCACTCGCGATTTTCGCAGACGTTTCGGAGTTTTGCGAGCAATCCGCGTTTCGGGACGCGATCGCGGACGCGTCCTTCTCGCGATGCGATTGCGAAAGTTCGCCGGGGCGGGTGGTTCGGTTTGTGCGACACGGAAGACTTCGATCGACCCTCTCTTCTCGAACCAGTTGCCTCTGCAAGCTTTCGTCCTCGCCGTACCGCGCCCCGGGGTCTTTTCGGACCCAGAGCTCGAGGTCTGACTCGACCGTTTTAAAATCGACTGCCGTTTGTTTAAAGAAAAAAAGTACGACAAGATAATAATAATAATAATAATAATAATACTGATGACGATGACGACGTCAACGACAAAATTTTAGTTCAAAATATTTGCTCGCGCGAGGACCCAATCTCCGGTACCGCGCGAGGGTTGAAAGAAGAAGGATTAGGACATCGCGAGTTCGTCACGAAAATCGACTTCGTCTACGAGAGGGGGTGGTTACGTAATTAATTGAAACGTCGAATGTTCCGGGGGGGGTGAGGGTGGATCCGAAAGAAGGAGCGTTTAGAAGGGTTCCTCCTTGCGCGCGCGTAGGCCCAAGAGCCCCGCTCGATCCAAGAGAAAGGGTTCTCCCGAGCCGGCGAAGTTGTTGTGTGCGGAGTTGTTAATTGGAAATTCCTCTGGTTTCCGGAGAAGGTTCCTGGGGAGGTCGAGGAGGAGGAGGTGGCGGCATGGTGGTCGGCTCTCCAGGTGTCGGCGGCACCTCGAACAGCAGTAGCAGCAGCAGCGGGGCTTCATGGCGGAGCGGCACCCCGAGCCCACCCCTGAGCGACGAGGGAGCACCAACCACCGGTTCCCTGTGGCAGACGCCGGCCCATCCTTCGCACAATCAGCAGCACTATCCGTACAACGTGTCCGGATCGTCGTCGAGCAGCACCCCGGGCTCCACCACCCTCGACGAGGGCATAGTGCCCGATTTCGAGGAGCAGCACCCGCGCAAGAAGAAGGTGAGTCGATCCGATCTGCTTCGTGTCGCGTCGCTCGGCGTCGCTCGGCGTCCCTTGGCGTCGCTACCCTACCTTCCGCCTTGCCTATCGATCGATTATCCCCGCCTCTCGTTATCTGATAAATTCAAGTGCAACGGCTCGCACCCGGGGACTGCGCCGCGCCGCGTGTTGCAATGGTAATCCGCAGCTGGTGAACTTGGCCTTCGGGTTACTCGGGGAATTATCTATCCTCGATGTCCGAGCAACGGCTTTCACGATTCCCGCGCGTTTTATTGCCAGGCCGATCGTTGCCGTTACACGTCCGCGGCACCGGGGACCGATCCGCTTCCGGCGATTAGCGCCGCGTGGACCTTGGATCCGCCGATTTGTTCTCCATTTTCGTCGTAACGCGCGGCTGCCGAAGGTCTTCTCGCGTAGATCATTTCGCGAATGCCGGAGCGAGAATTTCAGTTCGCATGCTGAACAGTCTTTCTTTTTTTTTTACGCCGGAGTAGATGTCCCAGTTTCCGTGCCCTCGAATTAAAAACGCGTGGAGAAAGAAAGAGTTTTACGTATAAATTGCAACCTCTCCCTGAAACTTGCGCGTTGACAGGTAAACTTAATATAAAGAAAAAGACTATAGATCGTCGATTTATATATAAATCTACCCCTGCGTCTACGTTACACGGCAGAATCTCGATCGTCCGCGAATAACAAATTTATTTCGAATAATAATAATCGAATAATATTATATAATTTATTTATTATGTAATAATCGAATAATAATCGTCATTCTAACGATCTTTTAATGGACTTTCCGTTTGAGCGGCGTCGGTCCTCTCGGACTGGCAGCGTAGTTTTTGCGTCAGTTCCCAGGAACTGACGGAGCAAACCTATCGTTTGGACAGGCACGGCCGCATGGGACCAACGGTATCAAGGTTAAAAAATAATGCCGGCTGAACGGGAAAACCCAGCGGAATCGGTTTCGCGCTTAACGCGCTAAAGATCTCGTAAGGTCTCGTACGGGACCGAGTCGGCGGCGTTTACCGTTCGCGGACTGCCAACGCGGAAAGAAGTGCGATGATCGCTGTTAGGGAGCAGTTGCGGGGCCCTAGGTCCGCGCCGAGGCCACGGATCACATGCAGCGGCGCGGCGCGACGCGACGCGGCACGCCGAGCGAGGCCAGGCTTACTTACGCAAACTCGGCGCTTTTATCGGTCCCGTTCGGCGTTAATTAAATGTAAGCCGCGCGGATGCGGAAGGAGCCAAGTTCGGGCGAGATAAACGCTCGCTACGCCTTGGCGGGCCGATTTAATTGTCCACGCGGCTTCTGGCCGTCTACGGGCGCGCGCGCGCGCGCGCGATAACCTCGCCGGCGCTCCAAAAAGATCCACGCCGTTTTACGAGATAGAGAACGACTCTTACATGCGTGCGGTTCCTTCGTTATCAGGCGGTCTTTCTCCTCCGCCGTTTCAAAATAAAAATCCATTCGTCAGCGTCGACGCGCCGGACGAGTGGCGTCGTGTTTTTTCGGTCTCGCGACGCAGTTTCGTTCCAAGGTTTACAAATTCTTTTTTTTTTTGCGCAAGAACGAGAAGAGCTATCGCCGCGCAATCTTTTCCAGTCTTTTCGGCAACGTTTGCCGCGTCGTTTGACATTTTTTTCGTCGAGCTAGATTACAAATTGTCGCCGGTCGATGAAATCGAACTCGGCTTATCGTTTCGACGAGTATTTCTTTTTCGGTGGATCCGTTCGACGGCGATTTTGGAATCTTCCTTTTCTTCTTTTTTTTTGGAACGAAAAGAGTTTTATCCGAGTGTTATCTTTTTACGTTGCGTTCTACGATATTCGTTCGCTCGTGTAACGTTCTTTTCTCGGCGACGAAATCACGCGAAATGTCGAAGTTAGGCAAAGTTGAGCCCGAGGCGAGCCGAATTTCTCGACGAGAACATTTTCACCGATCGGTCGGCGGATGAAAAACGGAGGGAAAAAATCGGCCGTTTTCACCGTGCGAACTAGAAATCTGCCTCGAGGTCGACGACGAGCTCGGAAGACGAGCCGGCAAGGGCGGCGACCGTGGGACCGGTACCAGCACGCAACGCTGGAAACTAGTTTCGAAGGTCGAGTGGAACGTGAACATATTTTTCCGCGATCCCCTGCAGCTCGCTCGTTGCCCATCCCGAGGGAAAACGGCCGAGCCACCGTGTTCTCATTTTTCGATATATTTTCGATTTACCGCCGCTATTTGTTTAAACGATCGCAATCGACTTAACATCCCTCGCCAAACCGATGAAAATCACTTTTCGGACCAGCAACGTCGACGCTCGGTTTTTCAATTTCTTTTTTCATCCATACGCAACATTTCAAACCCGCTATAGATCTTCTCTCGTATCCGTCTTCGCGTGGCACGCGAGAATATTTTTCTATTTCGCATTCCCGACAAAATGGCGCGCGGCGGCAGCTGTTTTTTCGCGGCCTAATCGGTGTCTCTTCGGAGCCGCGATCCTTTCCCCGGATAAAAATAGTCGAGTAAACGAGCAAATTAATTCGAGAGTCCAGCGTATTCTATTTCCGCGAACAGGATCCACGCTAATTCGAGAAACGCTCGCTGCTCGGATCTTCCCGGCGGATCGGCGAGCGTCGGTCCAGATGTTGTCTCAGGAGGAACCGAGAACTCGTTCTTCCGTATCGCGACGCCTACGTACTTATCGCGTCGGGATTACGCAGCATCTGTTTGCAGTGCGTTCGACGGGTATATCTCGAATGTTTACTAAACAGTTTCGCCACGGAACGTCTTTGTTGTTGTCGCCTCCGATAAAACACCAGTCACCGAGAACCGTGAAACCGAGAGCAGCAGCGCGATTCCCGAACGGCTGCGACGGCGGCGATCAATTTACGCGAGACGTTTATCAATCGCTCGTTTATACTTCGAGATATTACAATTTTCTTGTTTAGTACACTCGGCCGCGTTTAATCGATACTCTGTAGTAATTAAAAAGAGTAGATCTCAGCGAACGAAATAATAAAGAAGCGAGTGGAAAAACTGAAAGAGCAGAAACCGCGTGTAGAAAAATGAAAGATATAGTAATATAATAGTAATGTAGTAATATAAGTAATATAATAGTAATATAGTAAAATATAGTAGCTATTGTAATACAGTTGTTCGACTATCTAGTTTCTGTCAATTGATTAAAATTGTCAACAAAGTCATTAAGCTCTATACAAGATCCAACGTGTCGAGAAGAAGTGCATTAAAAAATTGAAGAAATTGCCGAATAAAATTATAAATATGATATCGATATAATTGTGTTACATTTTCGTGGAAATGGCCCGCAGTTCCAGGGTTAAACGATCACAAAATATGTATAAAGCACCGTGCGCGGCGAGAAAGCAGATAATTTGTAACGATTGCAATCGAGCATCTTCGATTCGAAGCACTTTCCAGCATTTCGTTCGAGCGTCGATATTCTTTTCTCGCGATCGGTCGCTTCCCCTCCTCGGCGTCGAGAGCGATTAGGCGAAGAGATCGATGGACGTCGCGGCGAAGAAAATTCCCCCCGAGGGAGAGGATCGCGGCGAGTCTCTCGAATGCCGCGCACGCCGATAACGGTTTCGCTCAGATTTTCATTTAGATCCGAGCGATCCCGACGATTACGATTTACCGTTACCGCGGAGGAACGTGGCGCGGCTGAATTTTTACGAGGCGAGAGAGCAGCCGCGAAAAAGAATACCAAATCGGCGGAGCTCTCCCCCGCCCCTCCCCCGGATGCCTCGCGGTCTTCCGCGTTGCGAATGATTAATCCCCGTTATCGATTCACCGATGCGTTTATTTATCGCGCGCGTTCCCAGGCCGCTACGATGTCCGCGGGATTTATCAATGAAACAATCGTGTTCTCGGCAACTGCAACGGTTCTTAATTTTCCCGATAACTCGGCGGAATCCCCGGCAAAATATTCCAGCGGACGGATCTCTGTTATCGAAACGATTCACCGCGACCGAACGTCGGGGGGAAAATTTTCTTTCGCGGCGAACGATAAGATAATCGCTTTGGTTGCACTGAGTTTTTTGTTTTCCATACATCGATCGACCACGGTATAGATTGTATTCTTTAGAACTTAGACGGGCGTCGAGCAACAATTCTTTCGCTAAAAGATTAGAATCGTTTCATTGTATCGCGTCTCTTATTCTATCGCTCGGCCAAGTATAACGGCAAAGTACGATGCACTTGATCTATGATCTTGGAGAATATATTCTTAGAACAGATAAAATAGATATAGAATATATAGAATAGAATAGAATAAAATAGATGAGATAACCATTTTGTAATTGTATCGCGTCGAGCATTCGGTTCTCTATTTTCCGACATCGTCCATCGCTAGACTGCGGTTTTATGCAGTCTAGTGCATAATATGTGCTAATCTACTGCATTTATAACAAAAATGGGCAGATGAAAGTTCAAACAATAGAAACGTTAAACGAATTTAAGGACATCCGGGTGCTATTTTCGACTCGCTGGAATGATCGAAGAGAGAACAATATTTTATTCGATTAATCTTCGTTGCGACCGATGAAGTTAAGTTCTTCTTTTTGCACGAGAATCTCCGTTACATCCGTTACATTGTACAGCTTTAAAAATATCTCGGTGCCATTTGGTAGCGAATAAAAAATGTTATCCGGATCCCAAGATCGGATCGAGTTTTATTCGCGCGTTACTCGTCGAAAAACGCGGTCGTTTCGAAATCCGTGTCGGATTTAATCGGAGGATGCTTTTAATGCGGCTCGGAAAAAGCGTGCACCGGCGCGGTGGATGCGCTGGTGCAACGGGGACTCGGGCACGATCCTCCCCGGTCCGTGCCAAGTCCACGGCGATGACATAAGCCGCGGCCGAGCCAAGGATGTAAACACGCGCGGCGATTTTCGGTATTTCGTAAGACGGCTAACAAGTTGAACCTTGAGGTATAATCGCCGCGCGCTAAACTTAGGCGCGTGTCGATGAGCGTGCCGGCGGAAAATCGGTCCGACGGGGTCCGAAAATAGCTGAGCTCCCGAGCCCCACAAACCGGAACGGAAGCCTTACCGCAGCTCGCCTAACGCGATCCCCTTATGGTTTTTCAGATCCGGGCGAAAGTGAACCGCGGCCCGATCGAGAATGGACCTGCGACTTGCTCCACCTACGAGAGCGAACAGGTAAGCGACGTTTTTTCACGCGATCCAAGCGTATTTATCCGTTCTAGCTCCTGTCCTCTACAAAATGTCGCTTCAGCTTCTCACGTAATTCCGACGATTCTGCGCGGGGCCATTTTTTATGGCACCGGAGACGGTGCTTTTCTATTCTGCTACTATTCTATATATATTAAATACTATTAAGTACTATTCTATACATATTAAATATTCAGTCTTTCGACCGAATTCTGCGACGAGAATAAAACGATGCGAGCCACCGGAGCTTTTGTTTCAGTGAAAAAAACGGTACTCGATGCATCTTTCGCGCAAAAATTAAGCGTTCTCCGATCGTGGGACACGACGGACGCAAGTTATGGGCATACAGTAATGTCTCTCCAATTGACGCTCGGATTTTGTCCACAAGAATAGACAATTGAGGAAGAGGAGATACGATTATTCGAGCCTTGCGGTTCATTTTTATAGACACGAATTGTCGACAACTATAAAAAACGAGCTGCGAGGCTCGAACAATCGTATTTCCTCTCCCCAAATTCTCAATTTTTCTGCACGATCCGAGCGTCGATTAGGGAGAATTTACTGTACAATAATGTCTCCCTAATCGACGCTCAGATTTGGGAAGAGGAGATACGATTATTCCATTCCGCAGCCTTGCGGCTCGCTTTTATAATTGTTGACGATCGACGACTACAAAAATGAGCCGCAGGGCTAGAACAGTCGTATCTTCTCTTCCCAAATTCTCCATTTTTGTGGACGATCGGAGCGTCAGTTAGGGAGACATCGCTGTAATCGTGTACCATCGCGGACCGATGTTCTCGTTCGCGGTCGATTTCGGGCGATCCGAGATCTCTGGAATACCTCGGACACCTCGAAACGAATCGTCTCGCGAACGAGATCGTTCCGGCGTCCACCTCGGATACCTAGAACAGACTTTCTACGGAACACTTTTTCGCCAAACGAAAGTGTTACCGTTGCAGCGACCAAAATACACTTTTTAAGTCGCGGTCTACTTTCTCGCCGCGGCGCCGCGTTCTAGTAATCTCGGCGAGAGAGGAGAGAAGAAGAATGCGTCGGGGCGAAGCAGAAGATCTTTCCCCGAATCAGCGGGTTTGAACGAGCGGCAATGGCCCCGGGGATCATCGAGGAAGTTTGTAACCCAGTTAGCCGGGGGCTGGCCCCCCTACTTTCACCGACCGCGAAGTCGACTTCGGACTCATTCATCTCGGACGGAAGCGGGCCGAACCGGGCCGACCCGGTAAGAGTACCGTTCGCGTGGCCGTCGCAGTCGCAGCCGCGGCCGCAGCGAAGCCGTGGCGTTGTTGCGATGTTCCTTCTGTGCACCGGCCACCCCCCTCCCCCTCACCGGCACATAATTTTCGACGCTCCGTGACCAGGCCACCACTTTCGCTGGTCCGTATCTCGAGCGTATCCGCGCACCTGACCCAATTGGCCGAGCCGAAGATATCCGCGCGCCGGATCAAGGTCATCGGGGCTCGTCTCCACGGTTAGATTAGCTCGCGGAGATCGCTGGAGAGAAGCGGACCGCCTGCGGCTGCACGAGTCTTCTTCCAACGGAATCCGATGGGATTAGGAACGAGGGGAAGAGTCTCCGGAACTGTCGCGCCACGTTGCTGGAAGACCGGCTAATCTCGTCTAGATTCTCCTCGCGGTTTCCGCAGACTTGCTGCCACGTTTTCGAGCTGTGCCCTTCTCAAATAAATTAGCTGCTCGAAGAATATCCGCAGGCTGGATATTTACAGTAATGTCTCCCTAATTGACGCCCAGATTGCGCAGAAAAATGGACAATTTGGGAAGAGGAGATACGATTGTTCGAGCCGTGCGGTTTATTTTTATAGTTTTAAATTGTTCAGAATTATAAAAACGAGCTGCAAGGTTCGAATAATCGTATCTCCTCTTCCCAAATTATCCATTTCAGTGGACCGTCTGAGCGTCAGTAAAGGAGACATTACTATAATAGGTTTTAATGGAATCCGATGGGATCAGAGAAATGGATAGTGCTGTGGAAAAGTGCTACGAGGGTTGCTAAACCGTTCGAAATTCTTCCTGTAACGTCTGGAAGCTTGCTGCGATATTTCAGAGTCTTCTTTTTCAGGAATTCTAATGAAAACTGATGGGATTGAGAAAAAGGGATTATTTTAGAAATACAAGTAAATTCTTCCACAATTTAAAAAGAGCAGATACGATTATAAGAGCCTTGCGCCTCGTTTTTATAATTGCTGGAAATCGACAACCATAAAAATGAGCCGCGAGCCTCGAATAATCGTATCTCTTCTTCCCAAATTGCCCATTTTTGTTCACAAGCTGAGGGAAAATTTCGAAAAATTTGCTGTAGATGGCTCCTCGAAAGCCTCGGCGTAATTCCTGCAGATTCGATGCAGTACTTTAAGATCCGCCTTCTCCTGGAACAGATTAGCTGCTCGGAGAGGTCACCGTTGAACTAGCCTAATGACATCCGATAGGTTCTAATGGAATCTGACGAGTGTTTGATGGGATTAGCAGAAAGGGTAGTCCGGTAACTGCTGTCCCGGCTTCGAAACACGAAGGGGCTGTGTAATTGATAGCGATGAAGCATCCCCTTCCGCGATAGAGGGCTGGCTCGAATAAACCCCTCCTGGATCCTCGCTTCGACTCCTGCGGGCTCTCGCGCCGTTTCCTTTTCACGAACTCGGTGCAACGTTTCGCGATTGTTCGACTCCGTCGAACGCGTTCTAAGGATTCCGCAAAGTTACGATGCTGCGAAATTCTACGGAACGTCTCTCGACAGCGAAAGCTTCGTCGACTTTCTTCGACGTCGATTGCCGGGAATCGACGCTAATCTTCGCGAGAAGATAACGCAGCCGATGCAGTCGATAGCGCGTAGCAACGGCATTGAGGCGTTATCGCGACGTATATCGGAGGACGATTCTCGATTTCGTGGAAATTCGTCTACGAGCGCGGCTCACCTCGTGCCGGAAGCGGAAACTGCTCAAGGCCGCGCGCGCTGACGTTTCACACACACTAATTACCCGTTCCAATAATCCGGCGGAATTCCGCGATACTTCACGGGCTTCCGAAAAGTCCCGTCACCGTTTCTCGTCGATTTTCTGGCAGCTCTTGAACGGGCTAAAAAACCTGATCTTTTCTTCGAAGGTGCACAGCACCACTTTGCGACGATCATTCGAATTCACTAAATACGATCGTTGCTAACGTTAAATCAACGGTTGTGTACATAATTATAGACTGAAAATAACTTGTAAAACTATACAGGGTGTTCCACAATTATTTTAACAGCCGAAAATGAGGGGTAGCTGAGGTCGTTCGAAGTAACTTTTTCCTTTGCGAAAATGTAATCTGCGGCTTTGTTTACGAGTTACTAACGGAAAACACTGACCAATGAGAGGTGACGGCGCGAGGTTCGAGAGCCCGCAGCACGAGGCTTTGACAGATGGTCGGGGGACGGACTCGAGCCGCGTTCGAGGTATTGAACAAATCACGAAGCGAGAACTTTCCGGATTTTTTTTTTCGTGGTAAAACTTTGAACGACGACGACGCTGTAAAATCTCACTTAACTCAGTTTTTGGCCGAAAAGGATCGGACTTTCTACGAGCGTGGAATTTTCAAGTTGTCAGAGAGAGATGGCAAAAGGTCATCGAACAAAATGGAAAATACATTACAGATGAAACTTCGTTCCAAATAAAAAAAAATTTTTTATTTCATCGAACAAATCGGCAATTACTTAGTTGCCAACCCAANCCGTTTCCTTTTCACGAACTCGGTGCAACGTTTCGCGATTGTTCGACTCCGTCGAACGCGTTCTAAGGATTCCGCAAAGTTACGATGCTGCGAAATTCTACGGAACGTCTCTCGACAGCGAAAGCTTCGTCGACTTTCTTCGACGTCGATTGCCGGGAATCGACGCTAATCTTCGCGAGAAGATAACGCAGCCGATGCAGTCGATAGCGCGTAGCAACGGCATTGAGGCGTTATCGCGACGTATATCGGAGGACGATTCTCGATTTCGTGGAAATTCGTCTACGAGCGCGGCTCACCTCGTGCCGGAAGCGGAAACTGCTCAAGGCCGCGCGCGCTGACGTTTCACACACACTAATTACCCGTTCCAATAATCCGGCGGAATTCCGCGATACTTCACGGGCTTCCGAAAAGTCCCGTCACCGTTTCTCGTCGATTTTCTGGCAGCTCTTGAACGGGCTAAAAAACCTGATCTTTTCTTCGAAGGTGCACAGCACCACTTTGCGACGATCATTCGAATTCACTAAATACGATCGTTGCTAACGTTAAATCAACGGTTGTGTACATAATTATAGACTGAAAATAACTTGTAAAACTATACAGGGTGTTCCACAATTATTTTAACAGCCGAAAATGAGGGGTAGCTGAGGTCGTTCGAAGTAACTTTTTCCTTTGCGAAAATGTAATCTGCGGCTTTGTTTACGAGTTACTAACGGAAAACACTGACCAATGAGAGGTGACGGCGCGAGGTTCGAGAGCCCGCAGCACGAGGCTTTGACAGATGGTCGGGGGACGGACTCGAGCCGCGTTCGAGGTATTGAACAAATCACGAAGCGAGAACTTTCCGGATTTTTTTTTTCGTGGTAAAACTTTGAACGACGACGACGCTGTAAAATCTCACTTAACTCAGTTTTTGGCCGAAAAGGATCGGACTTTCTACGAGCGTGGAATTTTCAAGTTGTCAGAGAGAGATGGCAAAAGGTCATCGAACAAAATGGAAAATACATTACAGATGAAACTTCGTTCCAAATAAAAAAAAATTTTTTATTTCATCGAACAAATCGGCAATTACTTAGTTGCCAACCCAATATTAATTATTTACGCAAATACCGCGAAGAGCGCAGCGCGGTGGCGGAGTTCGGGTCTGGTCCGATCATCGGCGAGCATTTAAAAAAATGCCGAAACCAACCCCGTCCAATCACCGGGGTATAAAACTGAAAACTAAATATTCCCGGTCGTTCGAAGATGCACAGCTT